AGGTCGATGTTGGGGTAGCTATAGGTCGGCTTGTAGTGGGCTGGGTCACTATAGGTCGGCTAGTCGTAGGCTGGTGCATGAGTATGTGAGAGTGAGTTATCAGAATAGTATTAAATAATATTTCATTACACATCGCAACAATTTTAGAACAGTTGGCTAGTACAAGACATTGATTATGATGGGGTGGAAGTACACATACAGCCGAGTAAAACCTTCGCCGGATTTCGTAAGTTTACCGTGCGTTTGGATTTTATCGACTTGTGTAATTTGTTTTCTCGTTTGATCATAGTCAAGGTCTTGCACTATCGAACTTTTCTAGAATTGTTACACTGTGTTATTAAGGTTGGATGCAGAGACTGCTGAATTGCACGTAGAAACTGTCAGAAATCGATTATCGCATTTTTAATCTTAGTGTTTGACAGCATTTATTGAACCAAAGATGGATGGAGCTGGAAAAGCATCAACATGAAGTAGTACTTGTATGACGCATTGAATACCTGTTGCTGCTTCATGCAACCTTTGAAACAATATATGTAAATAATTTTTTAATCAAGCTTACATTAGTCGCAATTGGTTTTGCGGAAGATGGCTGAGTTTGTATTGGTCGACTCGTCGTAGGCTGGTGGGATTGATGAATGGTATTAATATATTTCATTATTAAGGTTGGTGTTACAACAAACATTTTGCGGATAGTCTGCGAGTAGATTACGATAAATTCGGAATGATATATGAGGGCCTGACAGTGAAAGTGACCTACACTTTTACGCTCCTCAACTTTTTGTTGGTCACTTTCACTCTCAAGCCCTCATATATGAACTCAATTTCATATTGAAATCATACTGTGGCTTGCAATTGCAGCACGTCAGTCGACGTTTTTGATGACGTTACATTTGTACTAGACAGTTTACCAAAATCTAATAAAAATCTACCACCCAATATAATATAGACAGACAGTATATCTATGTATATTGTATTGTGACTATCCGCATGACAATTCAAGGAATCATCGCCTTATGTTTATTTGGTCTATGGTTGTTAACCTTAATTAAGTATACATTTATGAATGAGTGAGATTGAAAACAAGACATATTCTGACAATATATAGTTATGATACAAAAACGAATGATTTTTTTAAAGTGTAACATCGGCAGAACATTTTTCGAAGTAAAACACCGCGTGTTACATTTCAATAAAATTTGTTTTCCATGATTCACTTTGAAAAACGTTTGCGCTAGTGTTTCATTTGTAAACACTTGTTGGATGGTGTTTCGGTTCTTGGAATGCATGATAATTTTATTGATAAGGAATGGGAATTTCGATGTGGTGATAACACCAATGGATCGGGCACATGAAATACTGTACCAGACTCGAAATTTTTTTTTAAACTTTCTTTTCGATTTTTGCCTGTTTCCGATCGTCTACATGGGAAGTTTGTATAAAAACCTCGGAGCACCGATGTTTTACCCGTATTGTTATACACATCAACAAAGCAGTCTGCTTCACCGTAGCAGATTTTCGATTCTTGAACAGTATTTCATGTGCCCAATCCATTGGTGTTATCATCACATCGAAATTCGCTTTCCTTATTAATAAAATTATCATGCATTCCTAGAACCGAAACACCATCCAACAAGTATTTACAAACGAAACACTAGCGCAAACGTTTTTCAAAGTGAATCATGGAAAACAAATTTTATTGAAATGTAACACGCGGTGTTTCACTTCGAAAAATTCTCTGCCGATGTTACACTTTAAAAAAATCATTCGTTTTTGTATCATAACGATATATTGTCAGAATATGTCTTGTATTCAATCACACCCATTCATATGTTAATAATTGGGCTTACTTTTGTAGCAATTGGACGGCTGGTCGTGGGCTGGGTCACTATAGGCCTAGAACTGGTGGGGGCCGTCACAATGGGGCGAACTGTGCCTGTAAAATACATTAACTGTTAATATCTAGCGCGCTCATTTCAGTGTGCTTGTAAAAGCCATACACAAAACGATGTGACATTTTTGCGATAAACAGCTGGCTGTCAATACAACAGCCGAGCTCACAATGTAGCAGATCGGAATGTCTGAATAAAATTGGTCGTGCCGAGGACGTGGTGTTTGTCTCGAAGGCAAATCCCTGACCAACCCACAATCGGTCACGTAGTCATCAGTTGAACGTTTAAACGAATGCTACAAATAAGGCTGTGAGAATGAAAATGGCAATACAGGAATAAACATTCTGAAGCGCATCAAGAAAAAAAAATTCGAAAAAGTGAATTATGAGTTCTGAATACGCAAACCTCCTATGCTGCCCATGTAAATTCATGTTTCATTTTTGCATATTCAGAACTCATGATTCACTTCTGCGAATTTTTTTTCTTGATGCGTTTCAGAATGTTTATTCCTGTATTGCCATTTTCATTCTCACAGCCTCAAATGTGAGTTCATGACCGATGATATTAGTGCGTTCTACAGCTGTCACTTTATTAACATATTAATAATTTATTAACATATTTTTTTATATAATTTATTAATTTTTTAATAAAATGAATTTTTTATTAACGTTAATGAAATATAGTGCATTTTATTAACATATTAATAATTATTAGTATGGTAAATTTTCAGTTTTTAATATGGTGTAGATTTTATTAAAATGTTAATAACGATTTTTTATTAGAATTCTAATAAAATCGACAACATATTAATAACCGAAAATTCACCATACTAATAATTATTAATATGTTAATTTATTAACGTTAATAAATATGGTGTTTCAAAATCTTTATTAATTATTAAAATATGTTGTTTATTAACATATTAATAAAATACCGATTTTTGACAGCTGTAGTGCGTTCCACGGCCATTATCGTATGATAATGCAAAAAATCGAGTTTTTGGCCTGCGGATTCAAAAGCCAACGAATTGCCTTCATGTTATCGCACATCAAAAGTCACCTCAACCATGCGAGTATCAAGAGTGTGACTACACCTCTGAATCTCGTACAACTTGAAGAAATACATGAATAAGCGTTTGTGAAACCGTTCGAGTGCTATATTTGTGACCACGCAATGAACGATTCACGTGGAATGCGCAAGCACATCAATAGCCACACAAAAACAGGTGCACTGACACGACGGTCACAAAACCCACCAAACGTTTGCACTGTGCTGTTTGCAATCAATTCGTCAAAGATGTGACCATCCACAAACGTTTACGCACCCACCAATTGAATGTGTTGATCCTGGCCAATAAATGCAAAAGTTTGGTATTATACGAAAGTTACAAATGTGAGTTCGTGACCGATGATACCAGTTCATTCCACGGTCATTTCCGCACAATCATGCACCAAGCAGAATGCTTCGTTCGCGGTTTTAAACATTCACGGACTGGCAGCTTGCAGATGCACATCAAGTCCCATTTGGACCGTCCGACACGGTATTTCGAGTGTTATGAGTGTGACTACACGTCCCAATCTCGTACAACAGTGAAGAAACACATGCAGACGTATTTGGTGAAACCGTTCGAGTGCTACATTTGTGAACACGGGATGAAGGATTCACGTGGAATGCGCAAGCACATCAACAATCACACGAAGACTGCTATCCTGACACAGCGAGGTCAGCAAGCACCAAAGATGAGTCGGCAGCAAGAGAAATTCGAGTTGGTTTGTTTTATTTGCAATCAACCCCCAAGCGCGACTCCACACTTAGCTTCTAAATGTGACACCGTAGTAAGTGTGGGCATACGTTTTGCGAATAAGCGACAAAGAGAATGGAAACAAGTGCGCGTGTATTAGTCGCTACATTGAGAAGCATCGTATCAGGCTACTCACTACCACACACGCACTTGTTTCCATTCTCTTTGTCGCTTATTCGCAAAACGTATGCCCACACTTACTACGGTGTCACATTTAGAAGCTAAGTGTGGAGTCGCGCTTGGGCCGTTCAAGACGGGTTACGCATGGGGACGATGCCTTCGAGACATCAAAAGGAGCAAAACGGTATGCACCAAGGTCTGAGCCAATTCGATTGCCGTATCTGCAAAAAGGCTTGTCTTCTGCAAAAATTGTGTTTTATTCATTTATTTTTCATTTTTCGTCTCACCCCTTTTTAGTCCCATTATCCAATTCCCATTGAAACGTCACGCTATATTCAAACGGAATCAATGGGATTGCGTTTGTTAATTCTGATTCAACGCGTCAATTCCAATTCGACTCAATGGGCTTCAATGAGAATGCTACACCACGTGGCCCACATCAAGTTCAAGTCAATTGGATTCCAATTCCATATGATAACAGCACCACGTGGTTTGAATTAGAATCCAATTGAGCCAGAAGTCTCATTGATACCCTACTTACGCCAACAATGACCACACCAAACAAATTCGCAGGATGTATCTACAAATCTGTACAAATCAGAGAACGCAATATTCTTCGAATCAATCCCAGTTTTAACACCCTATTATGGAAGAGAAGAGTAAGTTTCTTTCGACTTGAAAATGGTTCGAAGTGAGTTTTTTTTCATTTTTAGCAGCTTATCGTGGTTTTCCACGATTTCGGCGTAGAAGATAACATATAGCGCTTTGATGTTTTTGTCGTCAACGTGGTGTTTTATCACTTTGACGCAAACGGTTATCTCCCATTTACCGACAAGCGTTTCGCGAAAATCCTCAGCCCGAACACGTCAACATACACGCCTTTGCAACAATATTAATCGAAGAAAAAACATAATACACTCCTCTCAATCTCACCCATTGATATTTAAAAATCAATAACTCAGAACGTAAACGCAATTTATCGTTCATCTGCATAATACAGGCAAAGACTGCGGTTTTTTTTATCTACTATAATTTTGCCAAACTCACAGACAAGGTGTGAATAAATGGGGCAACATTGTTGACAGCGCCACGCCAAAGCGGTTGCCCGGCTAACTACAGTCAGTCGTAACGCAAAGTGGCACAAGCATGTCCCATTTTCTGTATACACTCGTTGCGTTCATACGCGTGTGTATGCGAAAAATGGTACAAGCTTGTGCCACTTTGCGTTGCGATTGACGTATGCTTCTGATTGAAAATAATCAGATTAAAGTTAACTAAAACCAAATGAAAAGTAGATCCAAAAAAAAAATTAGAGAACATATTTCCTGAAAGAGTACCTTTTCTATTTATATTTGGCAAAAGAACATCTAAACTGAGTCCACTGCGAACAACGTCTCTTTTACGCTAACAGCAATTCGTACACGAACGAGTCAGTGTGACAGTTAGCATGAGCGAGACAAAGTTTGACAGCAAACAATTTGGTTATGTCGGTTTAAATGTTCTTTAAAAAAAATCATAGAGTTGGTTTCGCTGCAATAAGACTTTGAAATGGATTGTTCACAATTAATTTCTACTTTCATTCTGACTAAACAACAAAGTCTTGTTGCAGCAAAACAAAGACTATGATTTCTCTAAAACTTGGTTGAATATAAGTAGAAATTATACTTTATTAAAAAATATATCTCTCAAATTATTTGGAATAAATTTTCATTTGGTTTCAGTTCATTTTAATTGGGTTTTTTTTCGAACACAAGCATACGTCAATGCGTTGCAGTAGTAACCAAGTGACAACCAACGTGAAGTTGGCTGCGTTGCCCGGTATCCATTATGTTCACCCTTTGCTCACAGACAACACATTCTGTTATTCGAACAAAACGTCACACAGAATAAATGTATATAAAAATCCCATGTTCCTTCTTGATCGAGTAACAGAACTATGTTTTGCGTTGTTCGGCGACTGTTTTGTGTTGCGGTTAGACTGGCGAACATTTAAAAAGTTACTTTTATTCTCAGTGAATCATATCACCATTTGCTACTTCGGTCATACATTCGTTCATGCGAATCAAAGCAAACTGTGGCTCGTGTGTACGGTTTACCAGTTACAACGTGTGTGCAAAGCGGTCGAATTCTTGCGAAGTGAATTGTCGTCTTAGTTCGCGCCTTATGTACACACGTTCTAACTGGTAAGCCGTACTCACACTATACTCGCATCAACGAATATATGACCGAAGTAGCAACTGGTGAAATGTGCTGTGTACCAGCCATAATTCTGGTTACGCGCATCGCTGAGTGAGCTACTACTGAGTGATTCAAAAATCGGCTTTGAAATGTCCATAAATCTTTTTTATCAAACTGTCAAACTGGGCTTCAGCAAACTTTCTTACATATATAATTTGTGATTCATGTATTGAACTCAGATTATTCTTGTATCCCTTTCTCTTTTAAAACTTTCAGAAAATATCAAAAACTTCAAAAAAGATTGTGATGCCCTGAAAAAAGACAGAAACTCGGTCCCTTCTTGCAAACTATTTCTATTCTAGGCTTTCCATTTCGATTTAATTCAACTGTTACCTTCTTCTGCTGCATGAGCAACTATAACTGAGAGAATGTTGGAATCGGTGCTTGGCGGTGTTTGAAGATTCACAACAATATTTCCACTCGAGTTCCCAGTTCCTGGTCTTGCGGTAGTTTGTTGTTGACCAGGTTGAATTGGTCTTGTAGTGGTAGTCTGCTGCTGTTGAATTGGGCGTACAGTGGTTTGGCCAGTAGCACTAGAATTGATTGACAACCAAATCACAACAATCACCAAAAAATGGCGAAAATAGTTAATTTTTGTTTCCTCCATCCCGATTGTCACTTATTTCACCGAGTCTTTTTTTTTGTGATGATTGAAGTTGATCAGTTTCGATTTCAAGTCGAACTAAATTTCGAAGCTTGAAATGCCGTTTTTATAGGTCACATGAGGAACTATCAAATAGAATTTCATTTATGATTGGCGCGTTTTATGAATCAACCAACCGTTAGATTGAGACAGTGTTGTATCTTTTATTCTCTTTCATCGATAGGCTATAAAGCGGCGGTTTTAGGCGGATAAACCATATTTTATCATTTCAGCTGATTGATCTGATCGTAAACATTTTGCAATATGACAAAATTTAATTACATCAATCCGCTTCGTATTCTCAATGTGTATTTACGTCACCAGAAGGTATTACCTAGAAGATTTGATGAGCTTAGCCAATAAAATTTTTTTTTTTTTAAGGTAAGAATTCTGTTTGGATTGTCGCAAATAAAATACATGACGAATTCTATATATTTTAACCTTGCGATTTTTGTAGCAGATGGATTTGTTGAAATCAAACCTACAATAATGTGGGTTATTGGAATGGAATGCATTCATTTATCGGACAAGCCACACATGTGCTTCATTGATCAATTTCAATGCTATTTCACGCTGTAACTTTTGCGTTCATAAAGCATTAATCAGACCATCTGATTCAGACGTTCAAGGAATTTCAAGAAAGTGAAAAAAATCTCAATCGGAATGCCCATTTGATGACCACGTATAAAGATTATGAATTATGTAATAATGATCAGCAAACATGCCGAAATATTACTCGTTAAATATGGTTTTCTTCAACAAAAAATGGTCAATCAACTCGTCGCTTTGAATTTCATTTATCAAAAAAGTTAAATTACCCAGAGACACACTTCATTAAGATAAAAACAACGGCCGAGTGCAATTGTAACTTCAATTTTTATTACGATTAATTTAAATAAAATAACAATAGCTACAATAATTCAATAAAAGAAGAAATGAAACGCTACTCTAAAATGGTTAGTACAAATGGATTACATTCAATTCTAGCAAAAAATCGGCAGTATTTGCTCTTCCATCGCTGTTCTTTAAAGAGGGATACATTGTTTGTCAACCGCGCTGAAAACGGTATGTTTTGGGCATTTGCGTCGTATGGCTTTCAATGAGCCCTTACTGACACTCTTGAGCACACATTCGATGTAATGAGTTTCGCTGCTGTAATCAATAAACGTGCCAACACCGTCGCATTCAAATCGTTCAGACGAACCACTTTCTGATGATGTCCAATCGGTTGATGTGATTAATCGACAATAGCCCAGCTCGGCATCAAACTCACGACCTTCTTCGCAGTCTTCTTTGCGGATTTCATACACAGCAGTCACTGCCTCTTTATCTTTCTCCAATTTGCAAATGAAGAATGCGGTTTTATCATCGGGGAACGGCAACACTTGTTTATCAGCTTCGCAGGTTGGTGCCAATGGACACACTGCATAATTGTTAACACAATGCATAGACACTGGATCAAACACTTTTGGACACGTAAATACAGCATAGCTGTGTACGGTATCCCAGCAGAAATAATACTTTTCACAACTGTCTGGATATGGGAATCGTCCAACACTTTGGCATGTGAACTCGGGTGTCGGTTCCTCTGGTGCTGGTGCTGGTGCTGGTGCTGGTGCTGGTGCTGGTCCTGGTGCTGGTGCTGGTGCTGGTGCTGGTGCTGGTGCTGGTGCTGGTGCTGGTGCATCAGTAACTGGAGCTGCTGGTTCATCGGTGGCTGATTCAGGTGCGTTTGTTGTGGTTGAATCATCTGTGCTTTCTGTTGATGAATTTGAATCGGTTTCGGAAGCATTATCTACACTTGAATCACTGCCATCAACCGATGAAGCACTGGTGGTTACGTCTGCTACATCTTCACCATTGTTTTGCGCATCGGAATTATCACTTGGCGTTGCATTCTCTTCATTCTCCTGATTTTCAGCATCAGAAGGTCCTGTTTCGGTATTTGTGTTTTCTTGTGGTTCAGGTGTGGCTTCTGGGTTCGACTCGACTTCATCATCACTCACAGTTGCCTCCTCATTTCCATTTTCTCCTTCATTTTCATCTACTGCATAATTTGCACTTGGCGCATCCTCGTCATTGTTAGACGCAGCGTCATTGGCAACTGCTGCTACATCCGAAACTGGACCATCGTCAGTCGTATCAATGGATGGAACATTTTCGGAAGAAAAGTCCGCATCGACTTCCACTTGCGCAATGGCACAAGCTACACACTGTAAATATCAAATGAAAAGTTGAGAAAATTTAATTACTTCTGAATCAATTAACTAGTTCAATAAAAAGACACAAAACTTTTACTGACCAAAGCAACCAACAATACGATTTTTGATTTCATTCCGTTGCTTCTGTTGATATGTTGTTGTTACAAAAATTAACTGCAACTGATTTTCAACGTACTATTGTGCTCATTATATACCTTGTTACCATATTTTATCTCGATTCCAACTGTTTCATAACGTTGGTTCTATGATAAATAAAATGTTTTTTTTTTACTCATTCAAATGAGTTCAGAACAAAAGGATTAGTGTGCTAAATTGTTGTCACAAAAACAGTCGAATTCGATCAAAATGTTTAAATTAGAATTCCTTGTGCTACCTTGCGACGCATCAAAGATAAGCAAATCTCATTATTCTCACATAAATCTATCGTCATCATACCTTATTCGGACTGAAACACAACCAATTTATCAATATTTATTCTCTTGCACTTTCATCGAATTCGCGAAAAGTAGGTTGAGATGAATCAGCGTTGGGCATGATATAAATAGATGTTATCAATGTTTGGTGGAACATGTGGAAAATTGCCATTGATTTACAATGAACAAATCTAGAGTATTGCTACAATTAAATCCGCTTAATGTGGGGCAGTAGTAGTTCCTGTTTTGTCTGAATCACGATCAAAATTACGTCATGATAAAGTCAACATGTGGATTGTGAACAATCAAAAACTTGCACATCATATCTTATTTACTAAAATAAAGCAGTAAACACAAGTGTATCCTTGGGAAGAATGTAATTCTATGTGAAAATATATTTTATGAATATAGCAAATACAATAACTTGTATATTGGAATAAATGTTATAAAATTGTATGGTTAATCCGATTAAATGAAATTGTTCTGAATTGTTAGCTTAATTTGTAATCGAATCACATTATCCAGTTGAAATGCGTGTACGACAGTATGTTTAACCAAATATTAATTTGGAAAATAAGAATTTTCTTATTCGGCTGGTTGTGCGGTATTTGCCTGATCGGCTTCTGTTGGCCGAAGGCGACGAATGCTGATGTCGTAGACAATTTCTTCGATCTTCTTTACGTCGTATTTCAATCCATCGAAACGCTTGCGAAGACCATCGTTCTTCAAATTCAACAAACGGAATCCGGCACTTAGATCAGCCAAGAAACGGGAAATTTGTAGCGGACGCTCGTAGTCGCCAAGTGTCACTGAAATTTTAAAAAAAGCCGATTCAAATATTTTGAAATGTCGTTGGTTTTGAATTTAACACATTGCCAATAGAAATAAACTCAAGTCACCTGCATTTGTTGCAAATCGTGACAGTTCGGAAGCCAACTGCAATACACCCATGAGATAGTCTTCGATATCCAAATGGAAACCATCGCGTTGCTTTGTTTTCACTGAAATAACGCAAACGATTATAGTAATTGTGTTGGATCAAAAGCTTGTAGATGGTATAAAATTGTAAGCTCTTTGACTCTCCATTTTTACTCATTCTTTACTTACAACCGAGTATCTCAGCAGCAGTATCGCGTTCAACCAAAAATCCTTTTTCAAGGAAAATTGTCAAGGCAATCAAAAAGACGAGTCGTTGTGTGGTCCACGACCAATGATCGTTATAGCGATAGTATTGACCGCTTGGAACCAATTTTGCCAATTTTTCGTACAAATTACAGCAAACTTCGAATTGTTCGCGTGCCTTCAAGCATCCACCAGACACTGAAACAAAACAATGAGTCATAGATAAATAAAAAAAAAAAGTCTGATTCGAATTAATGAAAACAACTGGTTTGAATTGTTTTCTTATCATAGGAAAAAAAACACGACGGTGATAAACATACCTTCGGTCAAACTTGTGTGAATCACTTGCAAAGACAGCGTTGCGTCACGCACAGCTACATCTATTTCCTTCATAATTGCCCGAATTTCCTGTCGAAGTGAAAAATATGCGAAAATAATGAAATCATTTATCCGTTCTAACCTCAATATCAAGAAAATATTGATTGGCCGGATAACTTCGATCCGACGAATACTTACATCTCGCACTTCTTGTTCGTTGTTCAATTGATCTTGGAATTGTGTGAAAAGTTCTTTCGGTACACGAGCCATTTTCTTGCAATTAAAATTGTTCGTATTTCAAGATGACCACAGGTATTCTGTATTTGTTGTTTGAAGTCGATCCAAAACAGTATAATAACAAACGTCAGATGTGTCACTCACTGTGTTCGTGCTTTCAATTTGAATGCGACGTTTTTAGCTGTATGGTTTGTGTCCTGAGTACGCATTGCACATCAATACTTTAGAACTTAAGTGTTAACTATTCTTATTGCTAAAATTTAAAGCAATGGTTAGAGCTAAATTAAAATCCTTTTTGTTTATTAAACTGATATAACAGTTTTGAAACGAGATTTCTTGTTATTTTTTTTTTTAATTTTCCAGAAATTTAAATTGCTTCGAACTTCAATGACTTTTCAGGTAAATTTTCATCTACCGAATAAAATTGAATATAAATTGTTGCCATTTATTTTTCTTCTAGAAATCGTTGCTATTTTAACATTTTTCCTTCCGTAGCTTTTCTTTTTTTCAAATTTTTAACTCATCGGAAATATATTTTGCTTTTAAATTTAATCTATGCTTACATTTAGCTGCACAACATAAACCGTTAGTCATACTGTTCTTTTTTTTTATCAAAATCGCGTCTCGTTTACATTGATGACTGAACGATTTGTGTCTTGGATAAATGCTGCCTGTGAGTGGTGTTTGTGTGTTTTCAAATTTTGGTGCAAGAAATAGAGTCAGATCCTATTCTAGCCATTGAATTAGTTGTGAAATTAAAAATAACCCTCCTTGTTAAACGGTTCAGGTGGAAATTGTTTGATCAATCCCATTTTCGATTCCCTATCAAATAAAACATAATTAAACGAAATTAACAATCTTTCAAATTGGCAAAAGTTATTTCACCCTTGTACAGAAAAATCGATAATTCACGCAGAGGGTTGTTTTGTATGAGAAAAAGGCATTTCCAATTGAAGAATTTTATAATCATCGTAAAAACATAACAATAACAAAAACAAAGAAAAAGAAACATATTTGAAAGTGGCGGAAAGGCGGTAAATAAAGGAAATAAGAAAAACGTACAAAAACGGGACGAAAGAAAGGAATTTAAAAAGCGAAAAGAAGAAGAAAAAAAGAAAGGAAGACTCTTGTGAAGATGGTGGATCGCAGTGAATATGTGATTGACCATGCAATCGCCGAAGGAATGGAGTCTCTACTAGCCGATGTGATTCGAAAGTACCCGGTAATCTATGACCGAGGTAGCAAGCAGAAAAATGGTGCAACATTTCAAGAGAAGTACGATGCAGCTTGGAATAAAATCTCGGATGAATTGAGTTTGGAATTGGAAAGTTGTAAATCGTTGTGGTCGTGTATGAAGCAAAAGTTCATAAAGCATCGCAAGCGATTGGACAACGGTGAACCGGTATCGGCATGGCCCACGTATAATATTTTGCACAAATGGTTGGATAAGCATGTGAAAAAGCGGAAATCTCGTCATGATTACATCAAACAAATGCGAATCGGTTCGAAAACATCAATTACAAAATGCGAAATGAATGAAGAGGATGAGAGTAATGAGCCGGATGAGGAATGGGCTGAAATTGTAGAAGATAAAAGCACAGCAACAGTGCAGGTGAAACTAAAACGAAAAGCAGACAATTCGAATTTAAACGAGAAAACCAGCTTATCAACACCAAAATCGCTTTGTACGAGCAATAGTCGATTTGAGACGAAGAAAAAATTCAATATCGAAGTGGTAAGCGAAGACGGAACAACAGTTTACGAAGATCATGCATTTTTCGATGAGCCCGATCAAAAAACAATCATCAAAGAGGCTGAAATAGTTGTACTTGAAGAAAGTCGCGCCAAACAGTCCACACCTCAAATTGAAATAATTGATGTGAAAGATGCAACAAAAAGCAACGATACCGATGAAAATTTTCTGAAAATTGAACGATTTTTATCAACATTTGCCCATTCACTAGAACGTCTGAACATTGAAAATACCGCATACGATTCGAATGATGCGTTCGGCAAGTACATAGCATCAATGGTACGAGAACTGCCCGCACACAAACGAATGAAAATTCGTTTAAATATTTTACAGTATGTGACTGAGTTAATTGCAACTGAAACAAGCCCATCAAATAATTAGAAATTCTCATGAAAAAAAAAAAAAAAAATAATTAAAAGTGCTCGTCTCAAAGATGCTAGTTGTTGTTGCAAATTCAAACAAAATCCAAGCCAAAGCACGAGCATGTAATTTTCGACGAGATGAATGAGAAGCAGCGAGGAATTGTGGCGGCAGAGGCGTTTAATCGGAACACATGAATGAATGCGTTAGATAGAGTGAGATACTTGGTAGTATAATCAACGTCAAGTAATCACACATTGTGTATGCCGTACACTATGCTGTGTACGGTACTGTCTGTATATACAGCGGCAGAGAGAGTGAGAGCAAGAAATGAGTACATAGACGATTCAATGCGCCTGCTGTACGTACGTGCGTGTGTACATTTTTGTAGTAAATGTGCATTTCAATCTCAGTCGCGATGTCACACTCATCCAAACAACACAGCACAACATATGGCACATTTTGGTTTCGCGTTCTCTCTCCCTTCCAATACATTCGTTTCATTTTTCTATTGTGAAATTATTCGCCAACTTTATCTATTCCCAGAGATTTTATGTATTTGATAGTTGGTTTTATTTTTAAATCGAAGCTCAGAAATTTTATAAATATTTGTGTAATGTGACCAAAAGAAATTAGATTGTAAATAAATAATAATTTCGTGTGTAACAACAAAATGTGAATTTTGATAATCAATGAAAAAAAAAATGTCATCATCATCGGATTCAGACCCATTTGCAGAGTGTGCACACAAAGAGGAAGCCATTCGTTGCTATTTGAAGCGATTGGACGAAATAAAAGAGATTGCTAAGCAAGAATATGGAATCGAATCTTGTGAATTTGACGAAATGTTCAGAAATGAGTTCCTTAACGAACGACTGGGTACAACGCCCATTCCAATCGCACACTCAAAACATGGATTTAGTCAATTTCCCGTACACTACTTGACGATGTGTTTCATTAAATACGTTTACAGTCAATTAAGACGATACATGGTATACATTGCCGTTTTAGCAATTCTACTCACTCTAGTCAATTATCGCGCGGAGCTAACACGAGTGTTTATGCGTAATATTCAAGTGTATATTTATCCGGGGATGAGACTATGGCGCAAATTGACTATGCCAATAATTCGACAATTTCCACAACTCACGCAACTTTATGATGAAACATGCTTGATATCGAATCCATTTTTTCGTGTCGCCAATTTGGATTGTTCACCGTGTGCTGATGTTATCAATGTTGTTGATTTAACGATAGCACCACATTTCGACTTTGTTGGCAGTAATATTCCACATATCATAAAACAGGTGAGAGATACGCACAAATTTTTGTTATGGCGAGAAAAAAAATCAGTACAAAGAAGAGAAAGCAAAAAAGAGAAGAAAAAAGAGCAAAAAAGTGGCGAAAGATTAAAAAATGCGGGAAAAAAAGAAAAAGAATAATACGAGGGAAAATAAACCTTGAATAATGTCAAGGAAAAAGTCAGAAAATGTTTAAAATAGAAAAAAAAGAGTGTCGCCGTCTGCACTTACCAAAAAAAGACACCGTACACACACAAAAAAGTATCATAAAAATCAACAAAAAATAATTTTGTTTATCAAACAGATCGATGGCACCAATAAATCCGTTGCACGAATTCATCGGCTATATCAACGCAATCGTGATATGTTCCGTAGTGAAGCGGACAGAATCTATTCATCCGATGGCAGTATTGCGAATCTTGATCAATTGTTCGATGTGATGTTGAACAAAAGTGGAAAAACGACCGCAAAGAGTATTCATATTTTATGGCGAATAAATCGCATGACACCGGGTCGTATATTGCGTGCATTGTTTCCTGCACCGAAGGCAATACCACAGCATGCTGGTATTGATATTGAGCGATACGTTGCATTTGATATGAACGGTGGCGTTACATATCAATTACCCAGCACAGATTGTTCCAATATGTTTGTTCATCAAGCCATTGGCTCACGAATTATTCATCTGAAACCAACCGTTGAGTGCGAAGACCAATGCCGTCGAATCAGCGTTAAGCTGAAGGAAAACCAAACATGTAAACATCCTTTTCGAACAATTTTTTTTTCGTTGACACTTGACACCATACACGATTCATTTACCTTTATTTCCGTTTGTTTGTTTCTTATCGTTTGCTTAGTGTTCTACGACTGGTGGTATTGGAAACCGATATCGTCACCTGCTCAACAACTCATAAAAACAACATCCGTTTCATACATTGGATCGTATTGTATATAGCGAATGAATATGAAATTCAATTTCCAATTGAGAATGTGAAAAAAAAACTAACTCGAAAAAAAAACGAAAACTCCAAAGTGTTCCAAAGTCTAAATGGCAATCTAGTTTATATTTTTATTGAATTCGTATTTTTTGTCTCGTATCTTATCAAATTGTTTGTTTGGGAGATTTTAATCATATTTATTTAATTTGAAATTTGGTCAAAATGATGTCTACCGATGTCTACAAATCCACTCTAAAACTAACACAGTTCATAGAATTCTAGGGTTGTATTTATGGTTTTGTTTGTATTGTTTTTTTTTTTATTCTACTAGTTGATTCTTCTCTAGTTGTACAAGTGGAAAAGTTTCGAATAGTTTAACTCATTGCCAAAAAAAAAATGGTCTTGTCTCCATTGAATCTTGTATACTTTTTTTTTAAATACAAAATAAATAAATTAGTTCTTTTTTTGTACTTTTTTCATCAGCGAAAAAGAGAATCGATCGGGATTTACATAAAATTACTTTATCATTGGTTTTTTTCATTCTAAAAGGGACATTAAAATTGTGTGCAAAAATACGATACATTCAAGTGTGTTTCAGGGAGAATTGTGACATGATAAAAAAAAAAACAGGTTCATCCCAATCAAACTAAGAATCCAATAATAAATTGGACATTGGTAACGGTTTTCTACATATTTTTTCTACTTGCTGGCGAATGACTCGTGTGTTTTTAGGGTGAATTTACTGAAGTTTCTGCTTGAATTGCTTCTTGAAAATGACTGGAGTTAGGGAGAGCACCGCAAACACGCCCAACAATAACGTGGATCGTAGTGAGAAAGCGTCCGATGAACTCGCCATTGTGTTTAGCGTTTGGCCAGCCTGAATCGCCAAGAATGATGGCGGAGCAACACCTGCAATTGAAGATGAAATGAGTTTTGTATTGTATTATTTGACAAATTGAAGATTTTTTTCGATCAATTTAGCAAAAGTTGATTAGAGTTTTGCTTGATTAATTAAGCTAAAACTAATCTATCCCTAAATTTAAGGAGAAAGATCTTTCTATCATTCGATGATTCAACTAAAATGACTTTTTTCTTCGAAAAATGGGTAAAAATATGAAAATTGAAGAAAATGAACTTAAGCTAACACTTTTGCACTTAAGGCAAGTATACAAAGCGAGGGGCAAATCACTCGAAAGTAATTTGTTATAGAGAAAGTAATCGAGAAAATAATTTACGTGTAAAAATCTCGATTACTTTTTAAAAAATTGAAAAGTAATTGAGATTTTTACACGTAAATTACTTTCTCGATTACTTTCCCTATTACAAATTACTTTAGAGTGATTTGCCCCTCGATACAAAGGTATTTTAAATCGCTAAACGGTACTCACCCAAAAATGTTCCCAGTGCAAATGGATACAATGGCACACCAATGACTGGTGCAACCAGGTTGATAAACCAATTTGGCAAGAATGGCGTCATGCGAAGGAATAAAATGTAACTGAGCAGTTCATTTCGATGTTTGTCTACCTGTTCGGACCATTGTTGAGCTCTTTCCGGGAAATAATGCTTAACTAAACGTCGTCCGACTAATTGCGACAGCAAATAACACAGACTAGCACCAACGGCCGAACAAATGCAAACCAAGCCCAATGCTATGTGAAATTTGAATAGAAACCCAGACAAAATGGACAAGAACAGCGATCCTGGAATCGCAAATGCTTGTAGGCTAGAACAACGAAATAAGGTGAAAAACAATTAAAATAATTGAATGCATTCAAATCTGACGAAATGCATTGAGCACAACAACACTCACAAGATGTATATTATCACGACAGCTGACATAACCTCTACGTAGTATTTATCCTTATATCGATCGAGCACTTGACCTAATTTTTTTGCATCTTCTATGTCCCACGGTAATTTGATGTGCTGTCTCTCGGATCTAATGTCAAACGAAATCAAAAATGCATGAGCTATAATGGGTGTTTGAAATGAAAAAAAGTTTTCATGGAAATTGCTTGGAGCTGTGAAGTTAAAACGTGCAATTTGGTCCTTTTGAAGAAAAAAAAAAACATTTTAAATGACTCAGTACACGTCACTTGGAGTTCAAGTTCACATATACATATGAAGAAAACAAGTTTTCATTGTCAAAAAACCCATAATTCACACTCACGAAAACTTTATGTTCGCCCCAGTTTTCAAGCAATTAATTGCAAACTCATGAAAATGTGACACAATTTATTTTTTCGAAATATTCACTTACTCATCCAATTTTGGGAACATCATATACACGTAGAACATTGCTGCCAAGCTGATGGAAAAGATTCCAATCAAAATGAAAATGGATTTTTTGGCTTCATATTTTTCCGCATTTGACATTGTTCGGTTTGGAGTTGAAGGACTTTCCGTACTTTTGCCCATTAGATTAGTGGTGCTGTTGTTGTAACTGCTGTTGCTATTTTCGATGCCACTGTCATGCTCGTGTAGCTTAGAGCCATTTAGGTTATCTGGAAAAGGTGATTCGGTAATTGATTTTGATTTCAGTGAAACACTTGAGCAAACACCAACCTTTATCACAATCGTTGAATAAACTAGTTTCCGTGTTGTCCTGCATTATGAGTGTGAATTTGAAATTTCCATTCACTAAAAAAATCTTACACGCTAAAAAAAATTCTTTGGCTTTAGTTTTCCCTTTGTGTTAAACAAAGAAAATGATGAATTAAACTTTGTCGACGCAAAATATGATTCGATCCAAATTAAAACATTTTCAGAGCTGATAATGTTAACTGTTGAACGTCAGATCGTTTAATACCGTAGTGTCTGTCTATCGCACGAAATAAATCGTATGATTCTATTGGTGACACGGGCAAAGCAATAACAGAGAATGTTAATGTGAAACAGAGGAAAAAAACACACACGCAGTGTATGGTGAATAGTGAAGCGAAATGTCATTGGGAATATCTATGACGTTCCCATAGGGGTATTGCAACTACCATAAAATATATGTATTTCATCAAGTTTATCAAGCTCTTTCCAAGTTTATGCATAGTGTTGAACTTTTGTTCAAGCTCTACCATCGAAATGTACAGTAAAATAATTTACGGGCACGACGTAAGATGGCGTTTTTTCTGGTCAAAAAAGTTGCAATATCCCTTTGGACGTTCCATACAAACGCACCAGCATTTATATGCTATGTAAACAAAACTCTGGATGCGTTTGTATGCTTGGTCGCGTGCTCGGTCGCTTGGATTGGTGTTTGTGTGTGTAGTTGTCGCATGTATCAAACAAATCATATTTAAGCTCGTGGCCAACTTCATGCCTGTTCGTTGCATTGTCAATTTTTCTCTCTCAACATTGTGTGACTCAGTTCTCCAGTCAAACAATAGTTTTGTTGTTGTCTACCGCTTCAGTAAGTAAGGTTTTGTGTGCAACGCTTTTCATTCAACGTGAAAAACAACGAAAAATTATCGAGTCTTGGTAAATATTATGTGATTCATTGAATTTATTGTTTGGACCCGGTTCATTTGCATGTCATTCTATCCTGGATTTGTGCTTGGGATGTGTGGCAAATGCAAATCAAAGACCATATGGGCGGTGAAATCCATTTTTGCATAAAATGTGACTTTCCAACTAGCAATGTACAAATCAATTGATTTTTTTCTGTCTTTTTTTCGACTGGTTTTCTTCTGGATCTAGTGAAAACATATTAAAGTCAAAATGGAGCAGATAATTCAACAGCAAATTGCAAATGCTGCCGCTAATATTGAGTCACAGTTGGATGATCAGATCAATGCAATGGATTCAATGACCTCCGACGAATTGAAGACACTGAGAAATCAACGCATCAACGAAATGAAGAACGAGGCCAAGAAAAAGCAAGAATGGTTGAACAACGGCCACGGTGAATATGACGAATTGTCGGGTGAAAAGGAATTCTTTGAAGTTTCGAAAAAATCTGCCAATATTATTGCTCATTTCTATCGTGATGCAACTGAACGGTGTAAAATTGTTGATCATCATCTGAAAATCTTGGCTAAGAAGCATATTGAAGCGAAATTCTGCAAAGTCAACGCGGAAAATAGCCCATTTTTAACGCAACGGCTACGCATTAAAGTCATTCCAACGATTGCTATTATCAAAGACAGCAAAACAAAAGACTACATCGTCGGTTTCACCGATCTCGGCAACCGTGACGATTTTAGCACTGAAATGATGGAATGGAGAATAGCTCAATCCGGTGCCATTGACTACAATGTAAGAATCATTGCTTGAGTTTTTTTTTTTGGTTTTAGAAGAATTTTTTCTTGTTTCCGTAGAAAGAATGAACTTTTTTTTGAAATGATCGAATTAATCCATTTCCATTTCTGTTTAGGGTGATTTGCTAACACCACCAGATCAAGCGCGCAAAGAGAAGAACTTGCTGAGACAACAAAAGAAGAAAATTCGTGGCAGAGACAACGATTCCGATGACTCTGACATCGAATTCAGTGATTAATACCAAATCACGCTCATTTGCATTTATTTAAAGAGAAAAATCAGAACAAAACGCAATCCAATTCCAACACCGAAAAGTATTTTTCCAAATTCCCTCGAAATACTCGCTATGCTTCATACGATTCATCTCTAATCAAGCATACACTTGGAAAGGAAAACGGTGTTTTCCATTTCGTCATGTGTTTTAGTCTTTAATAATGTTTTTTTTTTCTTTGAATTTTCAAGTTGTCGACGTTTGCTTTGTTTGTGAATCCGATTTCATGTCCAGATGTCGTCTGCTTCATTCTTTTATTTTAAAAACGTGCATACACTGTTTCCGATACATGGAATGTATTCACTAGATAGCTTAATTGCGATTTGGAGAAAAAAAAATGGTTTTTCAAAAGAACAAAATTGCTTTTATTCTTCACGCAAACAATATTACACTTTTATCAACATTTAACTTAGTCTTAAGATACACACACACAAACACAACTCGAATGTTTTCAGAATCAAATAAAAAAAACTAACGAAATATTCTAAAGAAAAGGGGTTTCAATTGATAATAGGGAAGCATTGGTTGAAAAACATTTGCGGCTACGATTCAATATATCAAAGCAGCCTTTGATGGCATCGGATGGAAAAATCGAAATTATTGTCAAATTTTGACAAACTCGTCGATCGTAAGGCTAGCACTGAATTGACATTGTTTATGTTCAAAACATTGACACTTCATCCAGTTGTAAACGAAGACGCAAACAAATCAGAGGAATTCAATTTGCTGGATAAACAGAAAGAGAGTCAACGTGCGGAGTGAAAATGGAGGTGTAAGTATTGTAATTTCTGACAAAGGGTATTTGAATCTGGTGAAGAAATTGTGAATTTTCTAACATTCAATGTTTCTATTTTAAACAGCGTTAACCCATGCTATGCGATATTGAGCAATTTTGAGGTTATGGAAGCACTGAAAGATATCAAAGACCAACGAAGCAAATTTGGATTGAGAAATCTGGCCACAATTACATACGAGGTAAGCCATCAAACTTGGCTTTGAAAAAAAAAATTGTCAAATCAAAGAGAAAAATGTGTGTGCGAAGAAAAATGTTTCGTTCCTGCAAAAATGTAAATTTCAATTGCTTTATTTCCCGTAGACAATTCGCTACTTGGAAGAATCGCCGTGTAAAACACACACCAAGGAGAAAATAATGGGATTTTTGAATGCCGTAAAACCGTTCAAGCTCACCAAAGCCGAATGCATGAATTTAATCAATGATCCGCCATCAACACCGTTACACATTCAACTCCAAATCGAAGACAGTGAAGAACGACTCACCGAAGAAGCTGTCAATGAAATTATCAATCTTTCCAGAGAATGGCTCATCCCACCACCGATTGAAACTGTTTGAATCAAATAATCATATTTAAACGACAATTTTTTTTTTTGTATTTCCTTAAGAAAATTATTATTTAAAAACGGTTAGATGTAAGAAATGACACGAATAAAAGTGTAATTCGATAAAGAACATATGCGAGTAATCAAATTTATGTTCGCTTTTGATCTCCCAAATCGTCAATCAGATCTTCGTCGATGTCGGGCCATTTCTCTGGGATGATATCGAATAGATCGTCCTTGACATCACCTTGAATTACAATCTCATCGTCACCAGTCACGGATGAGCCGCACGCAAACTTGGTACCGAAAAATTTGGCTGCTACTTTTAGATCGATGTCTGTAGAGAGAAGGTTAATATTGAGTAAATAAAAGTACATCAGGTGATATAGAATGAGTTGAGATTGTGATTGTCATCACATACCAAATGAACTAAGCCCGGTGACAACAGTGACGCTCTTCTTTTTGCCTCGTGGAGCTCTTGACACACACACCTTCTTCGGGCCATCTTCCTTCGCTTTCTTTGGCTTGAGCATTCCTTTGCCGCCACGCCTTTGGCTCTTTTTCTTATCTTCGCCACCAGCATCTTCGGCTGTTGGATCGCTAACCTTCACCTTCGAAAATTCATCCGGTAAATTCTTCTCCAGCCATGCCTTACACTTTTCGTAGTCGAGATAATATTCGCAGTACTAAAAACAGTTGAAATCAATGGTTACTTCTCATTCATTATAATAATGAATCTGAGAGATGATACACGGCTGATTCGCTTACCTCAATTGGCATTGAGCAATTGCCACAGTATAACACTGACACCGGGTAATTTACACCTTCTTTCGGTCCACTCTTCAAATGCTCCAAAATCTCTGTCATTCTGATAACTCCCTTCACAAAAGAGGTTAAATTTTACAACAACAAAAAAATAAAAATCTAAAAATTGTATGGATTATCAGTGGCAGTGGTTTTCGATGTTATGACTGAAAACAGTGACAAAATGTGAATTGAATCGAAAATATACAATAGTTCCAAAAACAAAATTAATTACAATGAAAGCTGTCTGAGTTTGCACTAAATTTTGCAGCGAATATGTTTTGCCAATTTGTAAGTCGGCTGTCTCGGGCAGTGGACAGTGTCTGATTAGACATGAACGTCAAATCAATCTCCGGAGAGCGTGTACTCAGTGAAGTTAGTTGTTTGTTGAAATGGCGCTGATTTTGACTCTCTTTTATGAATTGAAGTATGTCTTTATTTGGTGTTTTTTTCATCAGAATTTGCTTCTTTATTTTTTTTCTCGATAAAATTTCTTCTTTTTTTTATTCGCTACCGTATTTTATTCTTAACATTAAATGTGAGTCTTTCGTATACTTATATACACATAAGTGATAAGTCATACATGTATGAGTTCCATGTATAAATTTAAATGCTTATTTCTAACGCTATGAATTTTTCAATGAACATTCGTTCGCCAAAGTCCAAATTTTTATGAAATCGTTCAACCGGTGCGGCGTCCAATTCTTCGGAAATCCTGAAACCCCAAATCAATGCCATTCACAGTATCAACAATCGTAAATCAAATATATTGTATCTCACCTCGATAACAGTTTCTTTGATCCGAGCGTCTTGTGAGGTGGGAAAAGATTTATTCTTTTCTCTTTCGGCTGACATTTGTTTAATTTATCTCGAATTTGTGACTTCTGCATTCGCATCATTGATTCATTAATCGGTTGATTCGTATCTGTCTCCGATTTTTCATTCAGATTCACATGTACATCAACGTCCTTCGTTGATATGATTTGCGAATATTTCGTGTTTTTCGATTTGAATAATTCCTTTTCGACCCTGCAATGGAATGTGTACAAAATCAATCGTGCAAAATGCGTTGTGCGAAAATCCTTACTATAAAAATGATCTAACGAATGACATAAATATTCTTCATTTTTTCAAATCGGTCATGCGTGAATTTAGAAAGATTTCACACCATATTGATTGATGAGTTGATGTTATCAAAAATGAATTTCATCCGATGAATATTAAGTCGATGTTTTTTTCTCTTTGGCTTTTTATTGTGTGCCAAATACGCGACATATACATTCCAAAATGGATATGTTGCCGTAAACGTTTTATTGAATGTTATTCGTTTACTTTGTGGCACGATCGTGGAAGCCAAAGACCAATTAACACATTTTGAAAATATCGAAAATAACTATCAATGATTTAATCGTTTTAATTGAGCATTGTGTAAACACTTCGAAAAAGGGAGTCAAAAGTTCCAGCCAGTCATTTGTATGCAAAGCGTCATGCATATTACTAAGTATCATGGTAGATTTGTTTGATCGATATATTCTACCAAATGAATCACATAATAGAACAATTTCATCGGAAATTTATCTGCATTGTTTTATCAAAGCTATTGTGAATTTTTCGTGATTTATTTGGTTCGAAAATGCGATTAACGACTAGAGAAAATGCTTAGTTGCCAAATGGCATCGACATGATATGAGGAGCCGAATGAGTTCATTTTCTATTTCTGTGTAAATGAAAAATAGAAGAAACGCTGATAATTTAGTGTGCACCGCTTCACGAGTGCTGCGTTTTGCATCATCACCACTATTCATTTGAATTACAAATCTCCCGACGTTTGAAAGTTTGTTTGCTATGTGTTTTTGTCAGCGTTTTTTTTTTCTTGCTGCTTCGTCGTGTTCTTGTTAGCAAATCCCAAATGAATCTAGTGAGGCTAAAATGCATATCGATTTAATTACGTTCTATGGCCATTCAGTGGGTAAATAGCAGTGAGGCTATTCGGAACAGGTATTTGCGTTTGGAATTTATACCATTTCGTGTGATATGTGAAATTGGATCGGAGGACATGCACTTGAAATCACCAGACTCGCCCTAATATTACGTTTTTCAAACCGATTTTTCAATGGCGATTTTGTTGTTGTTGCTCTGTCTCACCATGAACAGACAAATTATTCAATTAAAAGCACGCAGATCAAAATGAAACCACTCTCATATTTATGTGGCCAATAACTCTTTCCAATGCGCTGCCCATTTCTCTCTTTAATGAGGTTTGCTCATTTTTCTCACTCTCTCAAACTACTTGGTTTCTCAAACACAAGTGAAGACAAGCTAAAAAAACGCATGCAACCAAAGACAAGCTAAACGAGGTAGAGCGTACACACACATGTTGTGTATACGGATGGTACGCGCCGATAGCTGCCGCGCACAATTTGTAGTACAATCAAGGTCAAAGCGAAGCTACAAAACAATAAAAATTGATCGGATGTAAACAAAACAGTTTGGTGTGTGTACTAGTACTTATTATCGTCGAAACCATGTTCCGCACCGCACATACATCGCACTCAATACTCAGGATGGATTCAGTGCATATACAATGTGTACGTATGAAATTGTATTTTCTCGCTCCGTATTGAAGCACACAGTGATGTCATGATTTGCCAATTACACAATTGAGTTTCTGTGACTCGAGAGCACGCATTCGCACCGCAACTTTCGCTCGACAAATGCAGAACAGCAGCCAGCTGGAGACGTGAAATTGGCGACTTTTTGCCTGTGACCCGATTCAAAGCCAATATATTTTCCCCATTTCTCAGTCGTAAATTCAAAGACTTTTTAACACAAATTCCAAAGACACAACGCCAATTAACCTCATATGGTTATTGCAAAGTGATTTTTTATCTATCGTACAAGCAAATTGTTAACACTTTGCGCGCGTTGCCGCGATCATTAATGAAAATAAATGCTAAAAATAAACCCATCGCGAAAATGAAATATTTTCTCTCTCACTCTCTCTCTTCCTCTGTGTCTCTGTGTATATGTGGATGTGAATTCAATTTTAGCCAGTGGAATTTTTTTTTCCTTCTGAACTCACCATAATCCGGAGGCAGTTCTATTTGTAGAATCAACAACAGAACGAACACGCTGAGAGACAGTTGGTTGGTTGACGCCAAACTCCGTGTTGTTGTCATTTCGCTCACACTTTGCATCCATTATTTTGTCTTTACTCCCGAATGCCGGTCGTCGTCGTTGTCGTTTTTGACGCGTCATATGTTTTTGGAACATTATGTCATAGCTACGTGTAACGGTTTGCGGTTGACTTTGCTGATCTCCTCTATTGAAAGCGCCGATGCCGCCGCAACGCGATACCTTCATCAAAATAGAAATATTTCAATAACAGAAAGACAAAAAACAAAACAACGACAACATTATCAATCGTCCGTAACACGAATTAAACAAGCAGCTATTGTGTTTTTTTCTTCGTTCGATTGAAAATGACGAATTTCTTTTCGTTTGCTGACATATCAATCCGATGAAATATCGGCGTGGCATTGAATTTTGCATTTCTATCAACAGATATATGTGTCATTGCTGAGAAATTTTCAATATGTAAATATTAAATTTCAACGATGGTTTGACTGCTGTCGATTTCATTTATGTATTCGGGGAGCAAGCGCGATAAGACAGCACAGGCTGCATCATTGCTCCGTAATTAAGTCGAAGAGGTAAACAACGGCATTCATTCATTGTGAAAAACAGAGCGAAAAAAATCGAAACCAAATAGCGAATAACAGTTAAGTTATCGGTTCGAGAATTAAATGTGATTAAATGGTTTTTGTTGTTCTTTCTACGTTGGCAAAAAATAACGGGCGGCCAACGATCAAGAATCGAAAATAATTTATGGTGAACAACAAAATTGAGTTGCGTACTTACGCAGTTCTTTTCCAGGAAAGTGATTTTTTATGTTCAAAAGCATTAAAAATAAACTCGGTCGATGTTGAAAAGCACTTTCATCCTCAAAAACAAGTTCAAGCTTAAATTTTTTGTCATACACATATATCGATAGCGATATGGGATTATACAGTCATTTAGATCATTAATTATATCAGGCGATACAGTAAAGCCGCTGCAAACCGGCGTGTCTGTGGTTAGTTTTGTTTACAAACAACGCGACCGGGCTAGCGAACCATTTCATCGTGATTCAATCACGTTTTACTGTGTTGTCTTAGCTTTCTGCACCAGTACGTTTTATATAGAATTCATGCGATGGAGTCGCGCGCACAAATGATTCTATCACACTAAGAGAGACCTCGCGTTTTATACATATGTGTGTTATTTTTGTACGGTAATCGTCACACACAAACACACACTCACGCAGCAGAAAAACAACAACAATTCGAGATTGGGAGAGTGTGAAATTGAGGCTATGGCTATGATTCTTTTTTTGGCAATGAATTGGCTCGTTATGCGTGTTCGAAATTGAAGTTTCCAGCTTATGGATTGGTAACTATAGAAACAATGAACGAGTATACATTGAACTACTAAGTTTCCAGCTTGAGCACATCACAATAGCCACAATATTCAAATGACAAAACTGTCAAAACTTTATGAAATTCCGATGAAACGACTCGGAAACGAATCTATTTTGATGTGCCACCGCGTAAAGTTCTTTTTTTTCCTCTCTCACTGTGTGTATGCGCGCGCGCGGATAGAAGTATAGAGTAACAATAATAATAACAATAACAACAATATCAAAGAGCATTGAAAGCTCAGCAACAACAACAACAAATCATCATCATCGCTTACTCATATTCTTCATTTTTTTTGTACGAATTCTCGCGCTAGTTGAGACACAAAGTTGGGAGCGAGAATTGGCGCATTCAGTTGGATTATATTCGCTGACAAAACGTGTTGTGTTTTCAAGCCAGAGCTGAGCTAGACTTTATCGTTCCAAATTATAAACTTTAAGTGTGCGTAAATTTTTTAAACGTTTATTTCAAAATGGTGAGTGAATTTATTCGATTGGAATTTCTTTGCTGTTGATTTTCTTCTATTTTCGTTATGTGATCTTCGGCTGATTTTCTTTTAATTGCACGCAAAGTGATCAATCGCATTAATATATCAAACACTTCGAAGCAAAAACAACCGAACAAAAATCGTCTTCAATGCAAAGCTAATGTAAATTGTTTATTCAGTGACTGAAAAGAATTTGTTGAATTGGCCAGAGAATTAAATAAATAGCATTTCAAGTAGATTGAATTCATGCGACTCAACGTCAATATCGAAGATATCGAGATGATGCAGAAAAAAAAGCAGATTATCCATATTGGAATGCACATGAATTCAATTCCAAAACGCGGATTTTTTTCCCGTTTCGACGGAATAGAAAATAAATCAACGCGATAATTGAGATTGCAATCACTGAAATCTAATCTACAAAACACTCGCTGCTCTCGCCAATACAATTGAAATGCATTCAATTGCAAAACGATGTGCGAAAAAGCGTATAATTTTTTTTTACTAAACGAACGCGTTGAAATAGAGACCACGGCCGCTCGACTTTTTTTTCTCTCTTCGATTTTTTTTTCGCGCGAGTTTGTTTCGTTGCTGATTAGTTGTCGTTCATCTGATTTTGTCAACAAAATCAATTACTTAATTCTCGTTGCTGTTTGTTGTGGAACAAATTTCCCTTTTGTGGCGAGAACACACTTCGCAGAATTTCAAACAAAATTCATTCCGAAACGGCTGCATTCGTTTGCTATTTCCGAAGAAATTCAATTTATGGCTTGCTTGACTTAATACATGCTAATGTGTTAGTTGCACGTTTAAAATGACGATTTTATAACATCTTGAATTGTTAGAATCCAGAACTGTGGTTCTAATCAATGTTTTTATTGAGCTTGTGTGCTGTGCACTCGTTCACTCATTCACTCCTTCTCAACTTTTTATCGTTCAAGTTTAATAATTTTATTGACTTCATTGGGTTACGCGTCAAATGACTTCATCAATTGATATTATAAAATAGTATGTTTTGTGTTGTTTTCTCAACGTCGAGTGTTTACACTTCGTATCGTTTGACCAGAAAGTTTATTTCCTCATTGCCTCCGATTTGAAACCGATGTTTGTTTAAGATGACACATTCAATTAACTTTTTTTCTCTTTATTTAACACCACAGCAAATGCTAAAGAGACATCATGTTGATTTGCATTTTAAGCGTCTATCATCGCATTAGACTTAGTACGACAACCACTATAGATGATTTGTTTGCCATGATTCACGCTTTATAAGCCAATTACAATCCACGCTCACTCAAAATTATCATCAACCATATAAAAATGGTTACAATTTATGACCATTGATTTTGTTTCTCTATGATAAAAAAAGCTTAAAAATTCAACTTGATTCATGCTCAAAATGATTTAATTTGATTCATGAATAAATTTGATAAATTTGCGATAGTAATCACGAGATCGAAAAATTTCCATAAATAAATTTGTTCATTTAACAAACCAAAATATTTATACGTTTGTCTTTCTCTGTATTTTAGTCTGAGCCAACCGTTTGTGGAAAATGCAAAGAAGAAATCAAAGGAAAGGTGAGTAGTTTGGGTTTCACAATGTTTTGATTTCACAAAATCTAATCCAAAAATACGACTATTTTCATCAACACTCCCCAAATGCACTTGGTGAATTTTTCTCAAACAGTTTTCTAAACTCTAAATTTCCAAACACACCGTGTTCACGGGATTTGAAACGACGTTCTGACAGCCAAAATGAATTATAGGCACAAATGTCTCTTTCGCAGTGTGAATTTCATCTTGGTCAGCCAAAAGGCGAGTGATAGAGATCACAAGAGAAAAACAACGATTTTTTCAAAAGAAAAATGTTCATGTCACCATGAAATCAGCAGATCCACCATATAGAAGCCGCAACAAATATTTTGATCAGTTTTAAGAGTCAGCCACACTCAAACAAGCATAACTGTGAACAATATTTTTATTCCGAATGGAAATTCGTGCCAACAATTCTCGCTTTTCTCCTTTTCATTTGAATATTTTTTATTCTTTTCTCCTTTTTGATTTGCCGTCAAATTGAAAAACGTAAACATTTTTATAATTAGATTCATCTTGCAGTAGCATAAAATCGTACGAACGTGTGTGGGTGCTCTTTTTTTCTTGTTTCAATTTTAATATTTCCACACACACACAATTTCGGCTTCTGTCCGTTTTCGGTCGTTCGGACTGAACATTTTCTAATAACTGATCTCATAAGCGAATAATAAACGAATATTCATAATTTCTATGCATTTTACTAATTTCGGCTGCGGAAGAACGGCCACAACAACAACCGCATACTGTTCTTGAGGCTGACTCAATCGACGATAATCGTGAAAGCGAAAACAACAACAACTTAAGCCGATAAAGTGGCTAATCAAGTGTGATAAGCACTGGCCACACTCGAAAAAGAACAAATGGAATTTAAAACACGGAATTAGTGCAACAAAAATGGAGTATTAAGTGGAATTAAGTCATAATTCACACTTGAAAGCCGCTAATCATCATCGACGCTATTCTTGTCGTCATTGTTTAATGTTATTGTCTCTTTTGTCTCTCTTTAATTTCCACAGACGTTGACAGCTTTGGGCAAGAGCTGGCATCCAGAGCACTTTGTGTGCTTGGTGTGCGAAAAGCCAATCAACGCCGTCACATTCAACGAACGTGAAGGAAACCCAGTCTGCAGCGAATGCTTCGCCAAAAAATACTCCGAAGTTTGCAACAAATGCCACAAAGCCATCGTAGGCGTAAGTATCTGACGGCTTTTTTCTTTCTTTCTCTGGAACCGACGATTAAGTTTTTATTCATCAATATCGTCATCATCATCACCACACAGTTGTATCGTGTGAACGCGTATGAAACCCAAGTGTCATTTGATTTGTTCAATTTATATTCATAAAATGTGCGTATGCTGGCCAAAAATTGAAGAAAACTTTTTCAAACGAAAAAAAAATGCAAATCAAATCAGTCGGTTGGTTCAATTGACGCAATTTTACGTTGAATCATCTCATTCCAGCGGCTACCAATTAATTGGTGGGAGCTCACAACGTCGCCGACACACTACGAATTAGAACAGCCGACCTTTTTTTGGTCATTTTCATACACGTTTCGATCTCATCACCAACCGAAAAAAAACTATCGTAGCGAAATTTATGACGATTGATTCACAAGAATGAGTCAGAACAACAGAATTCGTTGACACTTTTTCTTTGGGAAAAAAGTTATCTTTCTATGTACGCACTCGGAGACAATACATTAAGCTTTTCCACTTGAGCTACACACAGGGCAGAATGGTTAAGATTTTTGGTATGATTTTTTTCTTCGTAAAAATAATCTCAACCATTCTTCCTGTATGTATTCATAACAATAATCGCAATGATTTTTAAATTTTTTTTTTTTGGTATTTCGTGAGTCATTTCCCAAGACACTGGTTCGGACTTGTAGAAACAAGCGATAGCATTTTTGTAGGAAGACGCCAAATGAAAATCTGATTTTAACATATTATGTCATTTGAAATAGAAAGCGCTCAAACAGCTATAAAAACAACGCAAATCCTCTCACGCATATCAACTCTCTACATCCGAATGGATAAAAAATTTTACGATCCTATTCACATTTCGCTCCTTCTTTCTGCGAAATTAAACGGAATTTTTTCGTTGTTTTATTACTATCGTGGTTTAAGCAGAAAATAGCAGCTTCCTCATTATAATTTACGATTGTTTTCCATTTGCCGTCAAAATGTTTGCGTGAAAATAAAACAACAACATCGAATAGAATAGGAGTAAAGTAGTGACGCGTATTGGATTGTATGTTGACAAAATACGTTAAAATTGTGAGGTTCTTTAACCTCAAAACCGAAATCTTTAGAATGATGTCGACATGTTTTTCCTCCGTCCCCATTTTAATAATGCCATTTTAAATGAAATCTTTTCTTCTTTTTCCGTTTCGCCAACAGAAAGTTGTGAAAGCCATGGGCAAGACCTGGCACGAGGACCATTTCGTTTGCGCTGGCCCATGCAAAAAACCAATGGCAGCCGTTCCATTCTTCGAACGCGACGGAAAGCCATATTGCAAGCCTGACTTCGAGAAATTGTTTGCCGCCAAATGTGAGGGTTGCCATCAAGCAATAACCGACAAAACGATCATCGCCTTGAACGCTAACTGGCATAAGGATTGCTTCGTGTGCAAAGTAACGCTTTATTTGCTATAGTCTCTTATCTCCATCAAATTCGATTAATCGACTTTCAGGAAGTTAAAGAACCGAAAACAGACTCTCCGGGTCGCTTTTGCGCCGCAACGATTTGTACTTTGTAATTAAGCACTATGCATTCAATGTAGCGAATTTACTTGACATACGTTTACTCATGGCCTTGAACTAACAATGGCATTTGAATTGAAGACAATCCCTTCTCCCATAGTGTATTTATAGTAATTTGATCGCTACTTTGATTTATTGCGTGTTTGTGTGTTTTGAACTAGAACCTTTTTCAAATGAAGACAGGAAGATCATGCCAGTCATTTTAGTTAAATTGTTTCCATTTTTTTTTTTTTTTCTAATTTTGTTTTTTTGCATTTGTTTGTGATTCAAACTTAGTACTGATTCAGTACAACTGACATGGTACTCCCAGTCTGTGTGGCGCTTAAAATTAACCAATTTCAAAAGAAAACACAACGCTTTGATTTTTGAATAGAGAGCATGTTACATTTGACTAATTTTACACATATTTTGTTTCGAAAATATCAACCGTTTCTTTTTTCTCTTCCCTTTTCCATTTGTGCAGCGGTGCAAAAAGCCCATTGAAGGTAAAAACAATGAACGATTTTAAAATAATAATGAAATAAATACTTAAAACTGTCTCTTTTTTCCGCAGGGGATACCTTTGCTGTTGATGACAATAAACCAGTGTGTAACAGCTGCATTTAAACGGAATCACAACAACATCAAAATGCTTTTGTTAAACATTTTTTTTTTATCTTTTTCTGTTTCTCTGAATTGGATTTGTTTCTCTAATTTCTTTTATTTATCGACGAATAAAGTGTAAACTATTTTCTATTTATAGTCTTTGGTTTCGTTTCCTCTTTTCTATGCTTTGTTTTTGTTTTGATCACACTCTCTTATCAATGATCGTTGACACACCGTTTATGAACATCACAAACATATCAAATGCAAATCACACGCCATAAAATAGGCAATCTGTTTTTTTGTTGATGCTTTGAAATATAAATGAATTGCAAAATGTACGACTTACGGTTTTTGGTATTTGTTCGTCTTTGTTTTTTCGTTGAAGTGGATGAAGGGATTTTGGAACTGGTTTCGAGGTAATCTTCGGGAAGCCATACATATACAGACGATTTGGTTGCTTCTTTGATACTTTGACACCACTTACCTTGGGTTTCAGCTTTTGACGTTCTTTCTGTGTGGATTTTATAGCCTCTAGCTGTGCTAGAACTTCATCGACTTTGTCCACAACAAACTGGATTTCATCCAAAACAAAAGAGAATGCAATTTTAAACAAATGATTGACATATTTTTTTCAGACATAAGAAATTTTCCGTTAAGAATGTTTCATTAAAGCTGTCTTTATCAAATGAATAGATTTAATGCACTTAAAAGCAGTTAAAGTGCTTTGATTTGGATTATTGTGAAAAGATCACTCATCACTTAAAAACTGAATGGTCAATTTAGATAAAATCCGAATGATTGACTCCATTGCCATTGGCTATTAGACCCACACTTACATGCAATGAAATCTTGAACCAAATAATTAAATTGAAAAACAAGTTGAATTCTTACTTGAACAATATAATCTGCGTCATCAAACAGCATTCTATCCACACAAACGATGGTTGTTATTTGAATGAAGCCAAGAAGATCTTCAATTTTCGGTGGCACATCATGATCCAGAAAACATCGTACATTGCTCACATAAGAAGAAACCGTCACTTGCAAGATATTATGCAGTGAAAGAGCCTTGGACGCGAACCCAATCGGCGAAAAGTATTTGTTTGACTGAATTTCGGTCAGCTGAAAAAAATGACATTCAATTTGGTCATATTCAAAACCCATGAATGAATCGATCAAATGCATTTTTCTTTGGTCGCATTAAACAGGGGCCTGTTGCACCGTACTGTTACAATTTTTGTAAATTGTAATTGTAATTGTAAATACAATTCGTTGTAAAATTGTATTTACAATT